TATATATATATATATATATATATATATATATATATATATATATATATATGCAGTATATCCTATACTATATGTATATTCTAAATTCTAAAGAATTTTAGGACAGTGGTACCCTCTAACGTTGATAAGATTTTTTTTAGGTAATAATAGATGTCTGGCCTAGGGACTGCTAAAAATCAAGCAGTGTGCAACTACATGAATCAACTATCAGAATGTATTTTTTCTTTAACAAGAAGAAATAAATGCTACACTACATACTGTTTAAATTCAAGGTGACATTAACTTTATGGTTTACAAACTGAATTCCAATGCTCATAAATCACTCGGAGTTATTGCTTCACAAATACCATATGTAGAAGTTTGATCTGCAAGATATGTTCAGATCTTTCACACAGAGATGATCAAAACATGAAAACAAATCAATACGTGAGGCATAATCTTTTCTCTCTTTTATTCATATACTGTATTCAGTACAATGAATGTGCACAATTAGTCTTAAAGGAATTTGTGAGATAAATCCTTGTGGCAAACATCTAAGGAAGTATCCTTAATCTATTTGTTAAGTACAGACTAATAACATTAGTATTCTATTATTATTAATAATAATACTATTATTATTGGTATTCTAAGCTAAGACTGCTATCAATAACTATGTTCTAGTTATGTTAAATAGGGTGAATCTAAAACAGTAAATTTGCACATATTTTAATCAGTTGTTTTAATATGTTTGCATACTGATGTTTAACATAACATTAAAAACAGTAAACTAAGGCATCAAGTTTAAATGTAAGACACAAACTGCCAACCACAAACTCAGCAGTTCTTCATAAACCTCACTTGAGGAGCAACAGTTACTGAGGTCATCTTACACTTCAAAATTTAAATTATAACAATCCTGGCCAGCCTCTCAGAGCTTTCTAAGTAGCTGAAAGTTATTGTAAAATCATAAAACTAGAAGAGCAAGAGATGCTATCACTTATAGTTTTCTATTAACATTCTGGTGATTTTTCCCCCCTGAATTATGTTGATGTAGTAGTAAAAGCCTCTGAGAGGGAATCTCCTGCAGTAGGGAACACATTTTGGTGTTTTGAACATAATATACATCTAGAATACCAGAATAATTTCCTGTTGCATGTGATTTTGTCCAGAATGTTTTCAGACCATTCCCACAAAGACCCAGAACACTGTGGTTTGAAATAAAAAGGAAGAAGCTGGAGTCTTATTGAACACTGTATTCCTGGAACTCTATACACTGTATATCCCAAATTAAAACTTAGTTATTTCATATCACTAATTAAAATTTAATTATTTACCTTGTCCAGAAAGATCCACCATTTTTGTATGTGTAGTTTTACCATCAAACAGCTCCAATATATATTTGCCCTTATCATTTGTTGTTGGTTCATTAATTTGCAACCAGATTTGGTTTCCTGTAACACCAGTCTTAACTCTTTCTGTGTACTTAATTTTGACTTCACTAAAAATAAAAATGCAATATAGACTTTACATATAAATAACACAAATAATAACTCATATGCATTTATATAATTGAAACAAATGTATGAATAAAGAAGAAAATTTGTAGCTCAGGGTCAAAATGAGGAGTCTGCATGAAAACAACCAAGCTGAGAGAACATCAAAGACCCCTAAAATAAATGTATATAATTATTACAAGTTTTATTACAGAGATAATATAAATAATAATTTTGCATGGATTGGGATCCGAATAGATGTTTTATAATTATGTGACAATTGGAGATTTCTATTCTACATATATTTTCTTTCACTTAATTATGTTCCAGAAGAGTTTTTCCAAGTGTACTTGAACTTCAGCTTCTACTATACTGCACATGAACATTAAAATAAAAATGATTATGGAAAGTGTCTTTTTAGATCATTGTAGTGCTATTGTTAGGGTTTCCATGAAAGTTTCTCTTAAACCTTCTCTCATTGATATCACACAGAGAATTTGCAACTCTATTTCCAGAACAGTTATTGTGTAGGCAAAATAGTCATTAGAACTGCAATGCATAGAATAAGAGTTAGTCCTCCATGGTTCCAGTTCCAAATTTGAAGAATGAAGGATATTGTTAAAGCTTAAAAATATGTTAAGTGCATGTGCATATATGAAATAAGTTTGCTCAACTTCCCCAAGAACTGGGGTATTTTAAGAGTGTAGCCCTTATCAACAATTGGTTGTCTTTGGGAGAAGAAGGTCCACACCATTTTTATACCTTTCCCAAACTTTAAGGGAAGTTTTCTGTCCCTCATTTTTTGAACCTGAAAATGAATCAGTATAAACATGCCCTACATTTCAACATGTATAGAATTATTCCTGTTGAATGAGGTAAGCAACACTGGCAAGGTTTCTTCACTTACTTGTGTGACCAACCCACTCTCAGATCTTCCAAGTAGTAGTTAACAAAGGAGTATAATCTGATGCCCTCTGCTGTGCTTTGAATTTTCAGATCAGTTGCAGATAAAGCTGAAAAACAACATAAGTTTTTAAAGACTTACAGTCATTCATATAGTATACAAATGAATCATTCATTAGGAGGAATTAATACTCACCAATCTTTCTGCAAACTTCTGTCATCAAATCTGTAAAAGCTGTGGAAACAAATCCAGAGAAATACTCAGTGCTCTGAGAACATATATTCCTGGTTACCATTGAATATTGCCCTGAGGTCCATTGATTGAGGTAGGAAATTTAAATTTGTTTTTGAAATATGTTAACATGTGTTTGATTGAATACAGGTTTGCTTTAATGGCATTTAAATCCCTCTATTTTTTATTTGACCTCAAATCTTTTAAAAACATTTTATTTTTTTCTCTCTCTTCCCCTTTCTGTTTCTTCAATAATCAAGGATGACTTTGAAAGCAGGATATAAAATAAATCAATATCAGAGTTAAAATTGTTGTTGCTGCTACTATAAATAGCTGGATGGATTTATACTGAGAAAGGCCATGATGTACATATAGGGATCAAGGCCTCTGTCTGCTAATGGCTTTAAAGGTCAAGGTGAACACTTTGAATTGTGCCCAGAAGATTGGTAGCCAATACAGAATATGCAGTTTAGGCATTACATAATCTTTATATCTTGAAGCTTCCAGCAGTTTAGCTATTTCATTTTACACGCAATTGGAATTTCAGGACACTTTTCAAATAAAGCCCATATCCCAGAAATCTGGGAGTTGAAGTCCACATATCTTAAAGTTGCCAAGCTTGAAAAACACTATTCTATACTAAGTGAACTAATACTGAATGTTAAGTTAACTTGAAATATCATTCAATTTTGCAAATAGCTGCATGGGAGAATAGCACTGTGACATGATTATGAAGTTTTAGGGCTATGACTGAAGATCTTCTGTACTGTTGTAAACTGGATTAATAGTGCTAGCAGTATCCAGTGCAATAATAGATTTAAATCTGAATATCCTCATCAAAACACAGGTTATCTAGACTGTTTCTTGAAGCCACTGGTGGCATCAGCATTATTTTCCTACTATTGTAACAGAATTCAAAACAAAAAATATTTTGCTTAGACATTAACAGTTTTATAGTAAGTGATCATTAATCCATACACAAAGCAATTTTAGTGTTCGCAGTCTATTCAGTGACTTTAGATAAGAAAAACAAACTCTCTTTTAATAGGTACATCTACGCTAATCTCAGTCTTAATTCTAGCTATCATGAGGCACCAGGTCTTTGGAACAGAGATAATCTATCTTTCTTATTCTATCACTCAGAAGTGCTGATCTAGATTGAACTAGAATACAGTAGTGATGTCTATTCAGAAAATTTCCCACTAAGCAAGGAATAAGTCATTGAGGATTATATTCATATGTGCATTTGCAGGATTAGCCTACATATTATTTTTCAGAGCACTCTTACCTCCTTCCACAAGCTTCAATATACTTTTGTCCTTTCCTCTTTCATCTTTCAGTATCACTTCGTATATACCAGCATCCTTCTTAGAAAACTGAACAAAATAAAATTCATCAAAATATTTGAAACATTTTGTATTTCCTACAAGTAATTTCTACAGCATGAAGGTGTGGAATCTTGAGACTGAGAGGTAAGGGCAAAAGGGGAAAAGCTGCAAATTTTAAAAGGAACACCGAAGCTTAAATTTAAAAAAAGTTATGTTCTCTGTAGAAGAGACATTATGTATAAGGGCCTGAACATAGAAAATAGAAATTAATCTTCTAGCTTTTATCTGTATTATATTTTATTGTAGCTACAGGAGTTAATGCAGGGGTGAAGTCTGTTACTGATTTGTTTCACGTGTGCATGTGCACAGTTGATTGTCAGAACGTAAAAAAATGCTACCAGTTCTGTTAGGTTGGGTAACGGATAGGCACACACAGGCTAACAGTAACAACAGCTCTTTATTGCATACAACAAGTGAGAACAATCCAGCGAAGGTTGAGTCTGACAGCAATCCTTTTAAACCTCTGTTCCCGTTGGACCGGTGCCAAAGATGTCCTTAAAGATGGCCTCAGCGCCGTCGTCCTTCAAGGAGTTGATCCCAGTCACTTCTAGGCCCAGGGCTTGGAACCAATCAAGCCCTAGCAGGCTTGCAGGTTGCCGCTGAGCACTGTCACGGGGAGTTTTCCGCTGAATTGCTTGAAGTTCACCTGGAAGGTGCCTTGGCCCATGATGGGGACCTGGTTCCCCTGGTAATCACGCAGGCAGATGTCGGGGGTGCATAAGTGCTGCTTCTGTAGGCTCGGGATACCCTGCTTAAGGGCCCACTATGGTATGATAGTTAGTGACCCAGTGTTGATCTCCATCTCACATGTCCTTGATGAGGACAGTGATCTTCAGCTTTTTTGGCCGCCTAGAGCAGACTTGTCCTATTGACGTATGGTAGGTGACTCTATTGTCCCCCTCTGAGCGCTGTGATGGCTTCTGCCAGGCCGCTGTTGGCGGCTAGGTTGGGCCTCTGTTGGCGGCTAGGTGTATTTTTAGGCTGCCAGGTGGTGGCAGGGAATTTGCTCCAGCACACCTTGGCGATGTGCCCCATTCACCTGCAACGCTGGCAGGTTGCGTCGTGGAAACAGCAAGCCAATCTTGCATGGTCTCCTCCACAGCTAGCACAGAGTGGGAGACATGGTTTGAATCTGTGCACCAGCTGGGCGCAGCTACTGTGCATGTGGCAGCTGTCATCTTCCTCACCTTCTGAGCTCTTGGGTTCTGCCGCCTCGTGATGTACGTGTGTATTTTTCCGCCAGTCCTGTGGTGTGCTTTGGTGCTGCAGTGCCTCAGTCAATTTGGCGGCTGATTCAGACGCCCTGGCTCATCTAATGCGATCTGCAGAGTGAGGTTAGATTTAGCGAGTAACCTTCTCTACAGGTAATGTCCCGTACGCCGCAAATTATGCGGTCCAGAATCAGCTTGTCCATGTCTCGGAGTTCACAGTACACGACTGCCTTGCGAAGTGCCACCACGTATTCGTTAATTGACTCGCCCTCCTTCTGGTTCCATATGATGAACTCATGCTGGCGAACGTGCTTGGATGATTTGGGCCCATAGTGGGTCTTAAGTGTTTGCTGTAGCGCGGACCAGGGAACTGCTTGAAGCGGTGTTGGCTCAGAAAGGTTTTTCGTTGTCTCGAACACTTCCCGGCCACAATATCTGAGGAACATGTTTTTCTTACAGCCTTCAGGAACGCCCATGAGGTCATTTGCCTCGAGGAAGCAGTGAAATCGTAGCATGTACAATTCCCAGTGCTCGGTGACTGGATCATACGGAGCTGGTGGGGCGTGCATAGCCATTTTGCGTACAGAGGGTGATGCAAGTTTGCCACTCAAAAATGGCTGCTTGATGCCGCGCCGAGGCTCCAGGCTGGATGTACTTGCTGGAGTTCTACAATCTTTTTGGTTTGCCTAGCTGCCTTCCAATCCCACCTTCGTCGCCAGTGTTAGGTTGGGTAATGGATAGGCACACACAGGCTAACAGTAACAACAGCTCTTTATTGCATACAACAAGTGAGAACAATACAGCGAAGGTTGAGTGACAGCAGCCCTTTTATAGGGAGCTGTCAGCCCCTTCGACCAATAGGATTAAACCTATGTTCCCACCGGAACAGAGGACCCTGGTGGAAACCACTGTAGATAGGGTGAATATCTAACAAGTTCGGATGAATTGGTAGCATTTTTTTTACTATCAGTTTGGGCGAACTGGTAGCATTTTTTACTACTGGTTCGGGCGAACCAGATGAACCGGTAATATTTCTCCCCTGAGTAAATGACATATCAATCTGTTAAGCAAACAGATAAATCACTTTCTCAAAAGAGCTTTCCATATTTTTCTAGAGGAAAATGAGAGTGTGTTAAAACACACAACTATTCATATGGTCATAACAAACACATTTTGTTATACTTTCTTTCTACCATCTTATTTGTTCTATGTTTCAGACATGGAATTGTCTTTCGTAACTAAGCTTGTATTAGCCGCAGCATCTGAAAAACAAGGCCTTTATGCAAAAAGGAGACGGCTAAAGTAAAGAAAGAACTAGAGATCATCGGTTATCTAAAATGTCTGCAAGTTTAGAAATGTTGTCACCTGTAAAGCAGCTCTCAAGGGAGCTCACTCACCTCTGTTATCAGCAGAGTACATACACCATCCTGAAAATCATGCTTTTCATCAACCATTATCTCTCTGTCATCTTTGTACCAAATAACGTGTGTTTCTTTTTTAATGTTAGCAACCTAGAAAGAAAGTATTATTTGTACTGATAACGAACTCCAATAATCTGGGTAGGAAAGAATCATCTTAGTAAACTATGCGTTGGGTAAAGAAGAAACATTCAAGTTTGCTTAATCAGTTTTTTGCATTTATCCCCTCAAGGAAGCATCTTCTATTCTTTTTGTAAAAGGAAAGATCACGGCTCAAATAGTAACTTTTTTATAATGAAGTAAAGAGCTACAGTACTCAAACTTTGAGGCCATTTCAGGTCTGGAACAACACAATGTATAAATAATGTTTGTGAAGATTGATTCTGTGGTTATTATTTACCATTAGATCTCAAAATAAGCAATTCAAGACAGTAGAATACTTGAAATGTATTTTATCATTAAGAAGACTTTCCCCTCACAACACTAACAAAGCCAAAATCTTTGCTGTTCTTTACCTTGCATTTCAATAATACATTACATTCAGGGGTAACTTCCCATCCAAGATATTCAACAAAATGTGGACCTGTTTGAAATAATATGCAAAATAAATACCTTCAAAAATAAAAATTCAGTCAACTGAATTAAGTTTAAAATATTTTTCTCCATTTTGTATTATGTAATAGGTTACCTTGCTTCCTGAACCATTCTTGCCTTTGAAAATCTGCTTCTTTCTGTAATTTCTGGAACACTAGCAATTAAAAAGAATAAATACACCCAAATCAAAACAATTGAACGATTTAATCATATAAAGTCAAAACAAATACTTTCACAAATGTATAGATAAGTACAGAGAACAATATAGCTTATGAAAGACTACTGCATATATATGAAATGAAAAGATAATGTTCCATTAAGTTACACTGTATAGCTAACCAGACTTCTTCATATTCATCAGAAGAAATTAAAATAGAGGTAGCCATCTTTTAGCAAGTCCCTCATTTAATAAGAGGGATAAAAAAGTAATTTTAAGGTCAATTCTGACATTTATTACTTCAAAGGCGTGTAAAGCAAAGGAAAATTGAAGTATCATAAGCACAATTGCAGTTTCATTTAGTGACTTAATAACTGAGTTGCTGGCCCAGAATTGTGATTGCTAAATGAAGAGTATCTGTACACCTTGAATCTTTCTTTTTTAAAGCTTATCATCAAAATATTGTTTTTAACACAGCACCTAATCCAGATTCTGATGGAAATGATTTTAAAACTTTTAATGTACAATTGAAATGCTTCCTCCTCCTGCAAACACTAGACAATTATGTTTTGTCTCTTAAATTTCCTGTTCATAACTTGTTGTGTAATATAGGAAGCTACTGTTTGAACAGATCCAACTGAAAATGAGGAACTAGATGTAAATATCTTTTGATCCTAACCTATAAATACATTTTCAGCATTTATGGATTACTTTCTATAAGTATTTATTAGTAAATGATCATCATTATATAGATTAGAATCATTATTAACATATATGTGTTGTTTTTTGAATTCAGCTAAAGTCAATCTAATTTGGATGGATTTCATAGATTTATGAAAAGAAATTTAACTCTTCTAAAATAGACTGAATCCAGATATATAATCCTTATAAAACTTTACTACTATTGACACATTTGATGGGACATTGAAATGATGAGAGCAGAAATTTGTGATAACTATTACAATGAATGAATTTTAGCAGGCCTATCAAACACAGTTCTTTTTAGGAAGAATATTAAATAATATCAAATGAGTGTGTTCTAACATTTAAAGTTCCCATAATTTTTTTAACTTTCAGGAACAAAAGAAGAAAAAGATTTCTGAGATTTGAGAAGTTATATGATTGGTTGAGAAATATTTGCTGGTGGATTCTTTCCACTTTTGCAATACATCAATTGCTTTCTGCTCATTTAGAAATAGCACATTTATGCAATAGCACAATTGCATACATGTGTTATTTCTAAATGAGCAGAAAACAAAAGAAACAAGTTGTTTTTATTGATCAATTTCTGGAAGTTGAATTGGCTAAAAAGGAGTTCATATTCCTGTAAATTGAATGTAATTATATATATAAAAAAACAAATATAAAGATGTTGCTGCTTCTTGATCTTAAATGCTATTTAGTGGGAGAGTTATATTTTTGAACCAAGATTCAGATCTTGAATAAAATAAAGAATAAAAAAGGTTGGATGAAAGTGGCTCTAAATCTCTTTGAGTTAAAGCAGACTGTTTTCTGAATCACTCTGAATACAAACTAAATCTTGTAGACTGTATACATTCCTTCAATAATAATTATTTTTTATGGAGCGTCTCAGTGATCCGGGTCATGGTTGTCCCAAAGGTGCTTTTTAAAGAGGCAACTGGACTTTCTGGTTTTTCTTTGAAGACGTTTCGCTTCTCATCCAAGAAACTTCTCAGCTGAGGATGAGAAACGAAATGTTTTTAAAGAAAAGTGAAATGTTTTCAAAGAAAAATCAGAAAGTCCAGTCGCCTCTTGAAAAAATACTTTTGAGACAATTATTTTTCTTATTTATTCCTCTAATTAAACACAGAATGAATTAACTAAATAAGGATCCGAAAAGATAGGACATCAACATTATTCCAAGTTTATCAAGTATTTCAGTGTTTTCAACTAATAAACTTTAGACTATAGTCTTTTTAAAAAGAAAAATAAATTAGAGGGTCTTACCATCACCAATTAGCACCAAACTGGATTGATTGGTTGCTTTTCCATCTTGAAGTTGAAAGGTATACGTACCTTCATCCGCATCATCAAGTTTATCCATAAACATTTCAATCATACCAGAATTATGATCAATCTTCATCTTGTATTTCTTTAATAACAAAGTTTAAAAGAGAAATTTCATTTTCCAATCTGGAAATATTTTTTTTTCTGAGCCTTCAAACAGTTTGATAGCAATTTCCAAAGATGTTAAAACGTAATGTAATTGCTCCATTTCATAACCACATTGACTTGGCTTTGGGCACATGTGGACATTTCTCCTGAATGAAACTCAGGAAAAACAAATTGTGTAAATAAACACAAGTATGTGTAGCACTAAGTGACCAGCTATCATGCCAACCTGAAAGTAACTCTCCTTATAAAACTTAAAATAAAAGGTTGAGTAAATAAGCATAAAGGACATTGAAACAGAGGAAAACAATCTATCTAAAATGCAGGAGGAGGAGCAGGAAGAGATTCTGAATTTGATCCAGTGGCAAGGCAGCATTTGTGTTACTCCTTCAGATATTCTTGGGTATATGAACCACAGTGCATGATCCTGGTTACCCTCAATTTCAAAGTCCCTCTCTCCTAACCATTTCTCTTAACTACTCTTGCAGTGCTATCCATCACCACAAAAATTAAAAACAAAACCAGTTTAACAATAAAAAACAATAATATAAAAAGCTTTTCTGATTAGAAAAGCAATTTACTGTCAAACAATGGGATATAAATTTAGAAATAAAAAGTTTAGTGATGTATGAAGAATAAGTAATAACTGTTTGCCAGTAATATCTGATAGAAGAGATAGGAAATGGTTTTATAGTAAAGAACTGTGGAAAGAAAGAAGAGAAAAAAAATGCATCTTGAGCCTGTGTCAAACACCCACCATGGCCACACCCACCGTGGCCACATCCACCCTGGGCCTCCAAGGTCAAACACAACCCTGATGTGGCCCTCAATGAAATCGAGTTTGACAGCCCTAAGGCTGTCTTCCCCTAAACCTTCCCCATGACCTTTGTCCTCTGAGATTGCAGGGGATGAAAAAGAAATGAGCATAGCAGTTTCCAGTTGTTTTGGGAACAATTCCACTTTGTACTTGGCTCTGGATATGGAGGACAGAATAGGAAATCAGGTGTCTCTAGTTCAAACACAGTATCAGACTAAATGGTATCACCCAAATTAGATTTATAGATGTATCAACAGCGGGTCCAATGCTGATATTGTGTGTGGTGGAAAAAGTATGAAAGACAAACCTCACAATGTCACAGTAAAATCCAAACTGATATATTTTCATATATTTGTGTTTTTGATTTTATTTATGATAATAGCTGATAACCAGGCGTTGCCCGGGTATTTATTTATAGGAGGGAAATGTCCAGATCAAACGTAATTCCTAATGTTGGATTATCCTCCTTACCGGAGGGAGCCCCCTTGTAGAGTAATGTAAAGCCATTACCATGGCAACTCCACTGCACTGTACAGTAGAAGCCATTTTATGGCAGTACGGTAGAAGCCATTTTAAGGCACAACAGACTGTATCTTAACAGAACACTTACTCTGAGGGGTGTTAAGGGTGTCTTACCCCCACAGTTTTTTTTTCCAGAGAGTAAGTCATCTGTGTACCAAGTTTGCTTGAAATTGCTTGAGGCGTTCCAGAGTTATGCTGGAACATACACACACACATACGAACAGCCATATATATATGCTATATATAATTAAAGGCCATAATTATAGCCTATTCTTCTAATATTGTACCTAGCCTATCATGAATCACAAGTATAAAAATATAGGGTAAAATAAAATATACACTATAATAAAATATACAATATTCAACAATATAGGTAGTCCTGAACATATGACCACAATTAAGTCCAAAATTTCTGTTGTTAAGTTAAACATTTGTTAAGTGAGTTTTGCCACGTTTTACAGCCTTTTTTGCCACAGATAACTTAGTAACCCGGTTGTTAAATGAATCTGACTTTCACATTAACTTTGCTTGTGAGAAGGTTGCAAAAAGGGATCATATGACCTTGGGACACAGGAATAGTCAAAATATGAAACAGTTTCCAAGGGTCTGGATTTTGATCACATGATCATGGGAATGTTGCAAAAGTGGTAAGTGTGAAAAATGGTCATAAGTTACATTTTTCAGTGCCGCTGTAATTTTGAAAGGTCACTAAATGAAGTGTTGTAAGTTAAGGACTACCTGTATGTTTGAATTTTTAATTTTAATATTCAGTAATAGCAAGCAATCATTTTCTGATAGGAGCAATCATTAGCTTACCTCTCCATTGAAAATTTCCTTATCATTAAATACAAAGTTGACTTTGGCATTACTAGACAATTTCTCAGCTTGCAGCCAGAATCGCACCTGACCCTTCTCCAAAATTTCAACTGCCAATTCAGACTTAAGAGGAACAACTGCAATAAAGAAAAATAATGTCAAAAAGAATTTTCATTGTGTTTATAAACATGCTGTTTCCCAATACATGCTTGGACAATTTCCTATTGAATGGCTATCTGAAAATGTATGCTTTTTTTCCTGTATATCTTCTTTGGTGCAATGATTTAATTGCACTAAATAGTTCTGTTTGAGAGATAGAATTTTTTCATCGACTATGATTTATCTGCAGATAGTTCTTGAAATAGATGATGCTTGAATCTAACATACAATATAACGTAATTCAAATAAGTGGGTAAACAAGTATACTATTTGGAATCCATATACCGTATTTTCACGACCATAAGCCGCACTAAAAATCCCAAATTTTGATCCAAAATCGGCAGTGCGGCTTATAACCCGGTGCGCTTTATATGTGGAAAAAGATCTCCCAGCTGCTTTGCTCCTCGCGACTGCAATAGATGTCCAGAGGCGGCTTTTGGGGCTG